GAGAGAGAGAGAGAGAGAGAGAGAGAGAGAGAGAGAGAGATCTACTTGCCAGATACAAATATGTACCCAAAGGCCTGCCCCAATTCCCAGCCATACCCCACCACTTCAGTTACTACTCAATTAATCCCTATCAGGGGATTAAATCACTGGTTGGGTTAAGACTCTTACAACCCAGTCATTTCTCCTCTGAATCTTCTTGCATTGTCTCACACATGAGCTTTGGGGTCACCTCACATCCAAACCATAACAGTACCACTTTATCTTCTTTACATAAATTTGAAAGTGGCATCTCCTCTTCCTTTGGATATGCTATTATAAGTCATAAATTAACCACAAATGTATAAATTGGTTGTGACTAACATATGCAGTACTCTCTAGAGCTGTGAACTCTGCCACTCGAACAACTGAATGCAGTTATTTTGATAAGTTGCGTGTGCTTGGTTTTCCTAATTCCAATGGATTCGTTATTGGCAATCCCTCACTATGCTAAGTTCACAGACATACCTTTTGACCTGTGTTTTCACTGGCCTGACACCTATAGTCACACTAGTCTTCACAGGAGGTGACGACTGTGATATCAGCGGTATTTGTGACAGACATTCATCACCTCCTTCCCTGTTAGTATACTTCTTGCACTTTCTGTCTGATCCCATCCCAGTTCCTGACACCTGTCTCCTCCTCTTATATGCTTTTGTTTACAGAAAGTTCTTGTCAATTATCAAGTTAGAGTTCCTGCATCATATAGACTCATGTAAATAAGCACACGCACACCAATGAAAGGTCATTTTCTAATGATAAAACTACTGAAAATTAGAATAAAAAGATGAGAGGACCATGCCATAAAAACTATACCCTGAGATATCTGCAATTTTTTTTTAATGGAGGAAGCCTAGCAAATACTCAAATAGGGTCACAATGGCATCCTTAAGCCTAGTCTAAAATGATTGTAATTCAGAAAATCCAAACTGCTTGCAAGAGAGAGAACAAGAATGTTCAGGGTTTATCCTGTACTACCTGGTAGAGATGGCTCCTTGGTACTAGAGATCTGACCTCTATGTTTAGGTAGAACTCTTCTTTGCTCACCGTGGGTAGGACAATTCATGTGGCCATGGTTATCTGCTGGAATTGACCCTGTTTTCATCAATGTATAATTTGGTCTCCTGAGTAGTCTTATCACATCCAGAATCAGTCTTGAGTCTGGATTTAGGTCTGGATTTCACTGCGTGAAAACTGAAGCTAAGGCTTGTGATTTTGTTGGTTTTGTTATTGTTCCAGCTTTTCCTCTGAAGGTTTGATAATTAAGTCTACTGAAAGAAACTGACAATAGATATTAAGAGGAGAATAGAGACATATTCTTTACTGTGCATAGGTACATGGAGAGCCATACAAAACATAAATCTCAATAAAAAGAAGGAGATTGAAATGCCCTCTTCATGGGGGAATGGAAGGTGAGGGAGAATAAGCTATAAGCCCACTTGAAGAGTGGGGAGAATCATTTTTAGTGAGAAAGATGAACCTCCCCCCTGCCCCCGGCTTTCTTTCTTTTTTTTTTTTTTAGCCTGGGTAAGCTCTGTATTTAACTGCAAGAATCTTGACTGTGACAAATCTATAATTCTGAATTTTTACTAATACACCTAATCTTCTCATTCATTACTTCAGTCAACCAAATTTCCATGGTAAATGCATTCCAAACTCATATGTGACCTAGGGAAAGTCACTTACAAGACTCTTAGTACAATGGGGGAAATCATTCACAGAGGGTTCATGAAAATGGAGTGAGTTAATACATAGAGTCTGAATAATAGCACTTGGCACACATAGAAAGCACTAAATACACTTGCATTTTATAATTATGTATATACAATATTACTGTTGTTAGCGATGTTCTTTCTCTACGAAAAAACATATTTGGAACCCTCTTAATGTTTTAGCCTAACTTGTATTTCTAAAATGGAGTTTTAATTAGTATTTCCAACATCCCAGAGATAAATTCATTTATGAATCACTTTACTCATTCTTTCAAGCAACAAGTTATGGAGCACTCCCTATATTCATACATATTTCTATTTGTGGGAAGATTAGCAATAAGCCACTATCTAGAAACAATCTTATTTATGCTGCTCAGTTTGGGATTTTAATTAATAAGATGATTTCTGTTGATTTACATTTTAGCTGCATTAATCATCCTCCAGCTTTAGAGAAGACGAAACTGATAAAAGGATGTTCTTTGAAGATAATTCTGTAGTATACACCTAGATGTCAATGTTTGCTTCATAAAGTGAAAGGGACAGAAAGGTGAGTGCATTTTAGGTTTTATAATTATGCATATGATTGAATTATTAAGAAGATGGACAAAATCCCACTAGGGATGGTAACATGCGCCTTCATCTTGATCCTTCTCTAAAAAGAGGGTTCTTTGATGCTTGTGAACATTTGTTCCAACTGGCCCACTGAGTATTTGAAGCTTATTCAAAGGTCACATTTTTGGGCAGGACTTCACTCAGACAGCCCAGATGGGCTAAAATACAAAGGAATGTAAATACTTGGAAGTTACGGCAGTTAAAGCAAGGATTTCTAGACTGATGTTAGATGTTGCTTAAACTTTAGAGAGTTTCATTTGGAAATGTCTTGAATAATTCTTAGGAGGGTCCAAAGGGCATTCTAAACTACCACCACCAATATACACAACAAAAACTAGCATGAACCAATATGAGAAGAAAACTTTTCCCTGGGCAGTTCTAAACTTTTCTTTTAGAAATTACTGAAAGTATTACTGAAGTCAACATTCATCTCCCTAGTTCACCAAGAAAGCTAAGGACATTAAACTAAAGTTGAACACCAAAATATGATATCAGCGACTTTCGCATGTCATAAGTGGACATAATTGCACTTTTTTGGACACATTACACTTTAGGAGTTTCCAAGGTTCAGTCTTTTACTTTTCTGTACCATGACACAGTCTCCATTTCTCACCCTGTGGATCTCAGCTCTATCAGATTTATATATATATATATA